GGTGAGGGGTTGGGGTTGCCGGGGTGGTGGTTGGGCGTGGGTCGCGGTGGTTGGCATGTGGGTAGGTGGGGTGAGGATGATGGCGCTGGCCGCGGGAGGGGGGGAGGGGAGACCAGGAGGCGTGCACCATGGGTCGGTGGGCAACAGGCGCCGTGTGCCCGGGTTTCGCGGGCGCGCCCTGGCCCAGGCTGGCAGCCTGCATGCCGCCTCCACTCCGCAGGCGGCGGCGCTGCCCGGGGCCCAACCAGCAGGCGCGTGCGAGCACGCCGCCGTTCCCCCCTGCCGCCTCTCACACCTGTCCCATTGAAGCAGACGCCCCGCCGACGGAAAGAGTATCTGACATGACATGATGCAGAACCCCAGATCACTCAGGTCTCCCAGATCTCCCAGATCAGCGAGATCACCTTGTGCAGCAGGGTGTGCGTCGCCAGGTCGTGCACGTGCACCTCGCGCGCCGCCGCCACCAGCAGCAGCCCGCTGCGCGCCGCGACGTCGAGGACCCAGTCGCTGTAGCGCAGCACGCCGACGCACGCCCAGCTGCAGGTCAAGGGGCGAGGTGGGGGTGTTGATGCGCGGCCGCGGCGATGAGCGCGGGTCGCTCATGTGGCGGCCATGCCGGCGCGTCGCCGGCGGCAAAGGCGCGATTTCAAACAATTCCTTGGCCGTCCGTGCCGAAGCCTATGCCGAAGCGAATCGGCGAAACAGCATTGGGACCGCTCCTGCTATCGAGTCTCGCTCCCTCTCCGAAAGAGGCAGGGACGCACGCCCGAGGTTGAGGGGGGACGCTCACTCTTCCGAGCGCTGCCACACGCGCACGCTGGTGTCCCAGCTGCCGCTGTACAGCGCCGCCCGCGTGAGACTGAGGCTCGTGATCGGCCCTATGTGACCCGCCAGCTTCCGCTCCTTGGACGCCAGATCAAACAGCCGCGACCCGTCCTCGTACGGCCCGCCCTCCAGATCCAGATCCAGATCCATGCGGTTGTCCCTGCCGGCAGAAGACGAGGGGGCGGGCGCCGCCAGGGAGCTCTCCCAGAGGCGGACCACGTGGTCGCTGCCGCCAGAGGCCAGAGCTCCGTCGTCCAGCGCAACGGCGCGGACGGTGCCGCCGTGGGGGCGCGAGGCGGAGGCGGGGACGCCCTCCCGGAGGTCCCAGAGGCGCACTGTGCGGTCGAGGGAGCCTTTCGGGGGCGGTAGGGAGGGCGGAGTGCACGTGTTTCTCAAAGCTTGTGTGTGCGTGCGTGCACGTGTGTGTGTGTGTGTGTGTGTGTGTGGTAGCGAGATAGAGGGAGGGGGGGAGTGCGTGGTTGCACGAGCCCAGGATCAGGACGGGGTTATATGTGCAGGCACGCCACACATTTATGCGTGCAATGAAGACCACGCGCGCTGCCCAGCAGGCGCTGGGGCGGGCGGCCAAGCCGCGAGCCCGGACCCTCGACAGCACAGCAGGCTGCGGGGACAGAGGCCCGCGGCCCTGATGCGCGCCCCCACCTGTCGCCAGCAGGTTGTGCTGCGGCAGCAGCTGCAGCGCCTTCACGCCCCCTTGGTGGCCGTACAGCGAATCAGACGTGTACTTGCCCGCCCTGATCGGGGTCGAGTGCGAGGTGGGGGCCGGCGTGGCGAGGCCGCAAGCAGTGTGGCGGGGACGGCGAACCGCTGCAGCTGCGGCACGGCCTCTGCCACAGCCGCGTCTGCGATCGAGCGACCCAGGTGGCCCCCGCCGACCCGTCGTGCGGCCAAAGTCAGGTGGCGGCGGGGCAAAGCGCCCGGGACAAGCGCGCCGGCGAGCTCGCGGGCCGGCCTCGGCGGGCGCCGAGCGCGCGCGCGCGCACCAGGAGCGCGCGCGCCGCATCTTCTGGCTGTAAAGCGCCTGCCACGACGGCCGCTGCGCGGGGCCCTCGTCGCGCGCGCGCAGGCGCCAGCGGCTCAGGAACGCGGCGCGCCAGACCTCACTAAGGTCTGGTGGGGGGATGATGTGTTCGCAAGGGGGCAAGGCGGGGGGTTCAGCAAGGTGTATAGGGTGCATGGCAAGGGAGCCACAGGCCATCACCTTGGCCAGCCGCACAAACCGCCGCCGCGAGCGAAGCAGCGTGCTCTGAATGCGCCGGCAGTCGCTGCCGCCCCTGCTGCTGCGGTTGGTGCTCCCGCTGCTGCTGCTGCTCGTTGCAGGGGACGCACCCCGGGCTGTGTTGAGCGAGTAGAAGTGCTTGCAGGTGCTTGTGGCGCGGCACAAGTCCCCAGTCGCCACCGGGAGCAGCGACAGGATGCGCGGCAGCACTGCAGGACGGGGAGCGCAGTAACAAGGAGGCATGCAAGCGGTTGGGGCGCGGCGAAATGTGCTGCGGGCGAGGTCGGACAGGGCGCACGCCTGTACAAAGCTGTGACGGCACAGGACTGCTGCAAGAGGACAGACCATTCATAAAGAGAGCCCGCCGATTGACTAGACGGCACAGGGTGCGCTGGGACTGCGACTGCGCGCGGGCGATTGGGGTGCGTCGGGCGCACCATCGTCCACTTCGCTGATGTTGGTAGCCGAGGGTGCATCCTCCTGCCGTGTGCGCCGAGCCAGGTCTCCCGGTGGCTCATCCGGCTCGCCACCGTCATCGTGGGCTTGCGGCATACAGCTCCAGGTCCGCTCTGTGCGAGGGGCTATGGGTACCTCGCCACACCGCTTGGGCGTTGGTGAGGTATGCGTGCTTTGTGTTGAACTAAAAGTCACAGTGACGCAACTCTTGAACATGTAAAATCGCTGCGGTGCCCCTCGCAATGTCCTTGGGACGTTGCTGACGAGTCCGGGTGGTGATCTCACACCACCCCGCTTCCGTACTCACCATTGATACATCCTGGGTACTGGTGTTACGAATTAGCTGGGTTCGGCTCAAAACCTGCGCAGACCAGGTGTCTGGGCGACAGGTTTGACCGGATCACCACATCCCGCAGACGACGACGCACCCAGCCCTCGCTCAAGCTGCGTCAGACACCGACAGCCTGATGTACCGCTGTGCCGCACGCGACTGAGCATGCGCAACCACAAACCATGCTCCCATCGCTTTGCTTTCACGGAGTCTGTCTTGGCAAATCTTGCTGGACACCTGAAAACACCTGCGCCCTTGCAAAAACCTACTGCCCACCACCCAACAAACCAGGGGCGTGCGCCTTCCCTCGGCCCTTATCCCACCCTGTTGTGACATCCATCGCAAGGGCCAGAACAGGGGGGCGCCCGACGCGCACACATACACACGCCGGCCTCCACCTTCTCCAGATGCACGGGGTGACAATGCACGCCAGCACCAATCCAAGTGCTCACCCACGTCAGCCGGTGACCCCAGCACGCGTCACCCCGCTGGTGACCTGCTTGCCACCTAAAACAGCCGACCCAGCCAGTCCGCAGCACACGTGCACGCTGTGCAGCCCGAGCCGGGCGCCCACTGCCCAGGCGCGCTGGCCGGGCGCGACAGCCCGGCCCCCCTCGCGCCACACCCCTGCGGCGCCGCGGCTGCAGCTTCCCAGAGTGGCACACCGCTTGCGAAGCGTTCCCCGCCGGTGCGAGCCAGCAGCGCGGCTGCAGCGCGGGCAGGACAAGTCTGGTGTGATCAACCACGCCTCTGGCGGCGCGGAGGCGCAACGCCTGGCAGGCCGGCGCAGCTTCAAACGGGCACACGCAGCTGCCAGCCACTGTCCCCAACGCAGGGGCTGCGTTTGGAAGGGTCAGTTGCCCCAGCATGCAGCTCTACAGAACAGCGCCGCCGGCACCCTCTCACCAATCGCTGATGGGCATGCGCTGTGCGCGCATCGTTGTGCATTTCAGTCGAGGGCGGCGGTCTGAGAGTGGCATCGCATGCATTTGCGTGTTGTGTGTTGGATGTGCGCCTGCACGCGTGACCTGCTGGTGCATCATGCATCACTTCGACGTTGATCCCGCTGCTTTCAGCTGTTATCTGAACTTCGACATGTTGGAGGGCGTCAGATCCACTTGCAGACGCCGCATGACTCTCTGCATGCACAGCAGTCAAGATCAGGGTGACCCGCCAAGATGGCTCAAGGTGACACACAGGATGCGCACCCGTCACCAAATGAACTTGTTTTTGAACAAATTTGAATTATTTCTGAGCACGATGCAGCTCTTGCGCCCGCAGATTGGTTCTCAGGGGTTGGCCCGCAAGCGTCCTGGGGCAAATGGGGCCATGAATGCGCCTCGCATGGCATGCCAGGTATATTTTGAAATCATTCAAGGCGCAGCGGGCCGCGTTGTGGGCAGTTGCGAGTTCAAGCGCTCTCTGGGCAGGCGCTGCAGTGCACCAACAGCCATGCATTCAGCATAGGGCATGCAGCAACCACGCCGCCGTACAGGACCCCCTGTGGACGCCTTTAGCCCTGCACATCTGCTAGTGCTCCCTTCCATTTCATTCATGCATACACCACGCTGCCACCCTGCCACGCAGCCCGCCGCTGCCAGCAGCAGCAACGGCGGTGGCGGGAGCAGCAGCAGCAGCTTCATGCCGCCGCAGCTGTCAGAAATAACAGAGCCCGCCGCACAGCGAATGGCCGAGCGCATGCAGCGCGCCCCCATCCCGGTCCCGTCGCTGCCGTTCGGCGCGCTGCAGACGGCGTTCGTCGCCCCCAGCGGCACCTATGCAAACAGCGACGCGCCGCCGGTCGTACTCCTGCATGGCTTTGATAGCAGCAGCCTGGAGATGCGGCGCCTGCACCCCCTCCTGGAGCAAGAGGTCGAGGCCTGGGCAGTGGACCTGGTAAGCCCCGGCCCGGCCCAGCGACCGGCGTGGCGCCCGCCTGCGCGCTTGCACCGCGCGTCTGCCCGAGTGCTCGCCAGTCGGCGGGGCGTCGGCGGCCGTTTCGCTGACCGGTCGCCTGTTTCCCGGACGGCGTGCACACGCAGGTCGGCTGGGGCTTCACAGAGCACGGGGTGTTCTCGCAGCGGCCGGACGTCACAATCACGCCGAAGCAGGCACGCCCCACGCCCGCCCCACGCCCACCCCGTGCGCCTCGCATTGCCCGCTCCTACTCCAGCACTCCTACTCCTTCGCCTCATCTGTCCCCGCCACTGAAGGGCACTGACGCGCAGTGGCGGCTGCTATGATTGCCGCGCCCTCAGCGCTGCCCTTGCCTGTTCGCAAACGCCCGCTCTGCCCCATCAGTCCGTTCGTGCTGTGCACTCTCCTTCCCTCCGTATTGCCTGCGGATGCTCTGACCCCGCCACACGCCGCCCCCGCCTCTCGACGCCACAACCGCACAGAAGCGGGAGCACCTCTTCAGCTTCTGGCAGGAGAAGATCGGCCGGCCGATGGTGCTGGTGGGCGCGTCGCTGGGCGGAGCCATTGCCCTGGAGTTTGCGCTCGAATACCCAGAGGTGGGGGGGGGGGTCACCATGGCATGGGAGAGGCCGCGGGACAGAAACTAGGTCGGCGAATCGCAGCGCCCGAGGCGATTCTGCACAGGCGAGGTCGTGTTATTGCTCCTGTGGGCCGATCGCGCCCAGCCGCCGCGAAGCCGCGTTGGACGGCGTGGCCAGGGACAGCGGCGCTCAGCGTGCGGTCGCAACGGCTCCGACCGCAGGCCGTGGAGAAGATTGTTCTCATCGATGCTCAGGTGGGGGGTGTCACCTCTTCTGCATGAGGCTTGACAGACACTGCATGCAAAAACAGGATCCCGGCCGGTTCGTGCAGCCGCCCGCCACTTGTACATGTTGCCGGTATGGCTTTGTGCACACACTGGGACTAGGCCAAACCACCCATCCCCGTCCCCACACACATCTCAACTCTGTTCCTCTAAACCCTCGAATACTAAGTTTGTTTCTGTTTATTTCAACTCCAGGGTTTCATCGACGGCATCGGCCCCATGTCCACGATGCCGCGCCCGCTGGCCGCCGCGGGCGTGTGGGTGCTGAGGACCGAGCAGCTGCGCATGGCGGCCAACCGCATGGCGTACCACGATCAGGTGGGCCTAATCGCTCAGGGCCTTGGCTACTGTACCCGCCACAGGAGGGGCATGGGGGGGGGGTGTCCACCGCCGTCCCATGCGCGGTCCTATGATGCCTGACGCGCTGACGAAGCGGCACCCGACCACACGTTGCGCTGCCTTGGGAGGGATTTCGAAGGTCCCGTTGAAAACCTCGCAAGATGTGATGCGGTGTTCTGGGATGGGAGAATGCGAGTCAAGCTGACTGTGGCAATGGATGCGCTCAAGCATGCTTGCAGAATGCACCGGCGCTTGAGCACGCTCGCCCGCCCGCCGCCCGCCCTGCAGGCCTTCGCCACGGAGGACGCCATGCGCGTCGGGCGGCTGCACACGCACCTGGACGGATGGTGGGTTCCTTCAGAGCGCTGGCGGGCCGGGCCCTAGACACGGCCTGCCGGCTTGCTGCGTGCTTGCGCGCGCAGCAACATGTGAAGACGCACGCAACCGTATCCACACCCGCTAGCGGACTCGCGCTCACGCAACCACGCCTTCGACCCGCGCCCTCTGATTTCGTTACCAGGTCGGACGCGAACATCGCATTCATGCGGGGCGGCGGCTACGCGATCAGCACGCGGCTCGGACAGGTGCGTGCCGCCGCCGCCGCTGCCGCTCCCAGCGCGGCGCTGGCCGGCCTCGCATCTGCACGCAGCTGCCGTCCCTACCCGCCGGCCCCAGCCCGTGCGGGCGAGCGTCCCGTGCGATCCAGAGCGCCTGTCCCCCACTGCGGCCCCTCTTTTGTCTTCGAAATCAGGTCACTCAGCCCGTTCTGGTGATCTGGGGGCGCCAGGACCAGATCTTGGAGCCCAAGTATGCAGATCAGTTCTTGGATGTGCTGCCTGACGCGCGGCTCGTGTGGCTCGAGGGCTGCGGCCACTGCGGCCACCTGGAGAAGCCGCGCGAGACCGCCGACGCCATCCTCGGGTTCATCAACGGGGGCGGCGCGGCCTCGGACGGCCGGGCGGGCGGCGCGGTGGGGGTCCCCGCGGTCGCTGGTGCGGCGGGGGAGCGGGGCTGAGGGGTGGGCGGGGCTGGGGGTGGAACGAGCACGAGAAGAGAGGCACCTTTGCGCCTGATCCTAGTCGTGTGGAACATGCCCGCCACGCGTGTCCGAGCAAACACCTGTGTCCCAGTCACTGCATTCTTGAGCTCATGTCCTGCGGATCGACACCCGCGCTCTTCCACATGCGCACGCACGGGCTGCGCATCACACATATGCACCTGCAGCTGCACACCATAACCAAACTTGAATTCGGCCCTGTAATCCTGATTATTATGCGCAGCGTGACGTCGCAGCAAAGCACGCGGCGCCTGTTGCCATGCCACTTGCGCAGCGTCGCAACTTGTCGCGCCGCTGTCCCCGACTTCAGCCTCTTTTTCGCAAGCCAGCACTGTAGTCTGTCGCTGCTGAAAGCTAGCAGGCAGCTTGCAAACATGGCGTCGAGCGCAATCAGCAAGAAGAGGAAGGCGAGTGCCCGCGGCGTTCGCTGCAGGAGGGGCACACGGCAGGACAATGACGAGCGTTGTAGAATTATTGCGTCGATGTTCAGACCAGCGTGGCCAGGGCCTTGATCGCACTGCGTTCTCGTGTGCGGCTGCTGTAAGCAGTGTCTTTGCAGCTGGAGGGCTTTGTAACGTGTCAGACATTCAGTGATACTTGTCAAGGTTCTACACACGACGCACGAACGCCCGACAGCAGCGGCGCCGCGCGCGTAGGCTGGTGCCGCTGCTCGCTGCTCGCCGCTCAGCCGCCCTGGCGCTGCGCCCGCCGCGCTCTGCGCACCCCCGCAGTTCGTCGCGGATGGCGTCTTCTACGCCGAGCTCAACGAGCTGCTCGTGCGTGAGCTGGCCGAGGACGGCTACAGCGGCGTGGAGGTCCGCCAGACGCCCATGCGCACAGAGATCATCATCCGCGCCACGCGCACTCAGAACGTCCTTGGTGCGCGCCGCCGGGGCCGCCGACGCACCCACCGTTGCCGCGAGCCGCGGCAGGGGGGACGTGGCGCAGGGGCCAAGCACGGCTTGGGCGGCGGCCGGGGCATGGCGAACAGGCGGATCGTGCTGCTTTCGAATCCCCGGCAGGCCAACTGGGCCCCGAAGCGGCTGCCCCGCCCGCCACGCGGCAGCCAGAGGCCCGCCCCAGCACCGCAGCACCCCAGGCCTCGTCCCGACCCGAACCCGCCCGCGCCGCGCGCCCGCCGCCCCTCGCCGCCGCCGCTGCCTCAACCCACCTCCCCAGGCGAGAAGGGCCGCCGCATCCGCGAGCTGACCTCTGTGGTGCAGAAGCGCTTTAACTTCCCCCCAGAGACCGTAGAGCTCTACGCCGAGAAGGTCGCCAACCGCGGCCTGTGCGCCGTGGCGCAGGCAGAGTCGCTGAGGTACAAGCTGCTCGGCGGCCTCGCCGTGCGCAGGTGCGTGTGGTTTGGGGCGCGTGGCGGGGCCCAGGCTGCGCAGCGGGGCGCCGACGCAACGCTCGGCGCGGCGCGCGCAGCGCGGACGTGGTGCAAGGCAGCGGCGGCGGCGGCGCTGTCACAGCAGGATGGCGCTATGTGGTGTGTGTACCCGCAGCAGGCAGCGGGCAGCTGGCGTGTCTTCGTGCAGACGCGGCGGCGGCGCGGAGGAGCGGCAGCGTGCCGGCCGCGGCCGCGAGGGGCACGGGGCGGCCAGCGACGGCGGCAGGCGGCGCTGCTGGCGGCAGCAGCTGCCGGGCAGCCAGGCGCGGGAGCTGCTGCAGGAGCAGCTGCTATGAGGGCAGAGGCGGCGCGGCATCAGGATTGGCCACAGGAAGGGCAACGCAGCAGGCAGCAGCCAGGCGCAGCAGCACGTGCTGGGCTCCACAGCGCATAGGCAAGCGCCAGGCGTAGCGAGCGCCTCCCAGCGGGCTTTCCCTCAACTCCCCATGCGCGGCGCCGCCCCGCCGCCCGCCCCGCAGGGCCTGCTACGGCGTGCTGCGCTTCGTGATGGAGTCCGGCGCCAAGGGCTGCGAGGTCATCGTCAGCGGGAAGCTGCGCGCCGCGCGCGCCAAGAGCATGAAGTTCAAGGACGGCTACATGGTGTCCTCGGGCGACCCCGTGCGCGTCTACCTCGACAGCAGCGTGCGCCACGTGCTGCTGCGCCAGGGCGTGCTCGGCATCAAGGTGGGCGCCCGTCTCGCCCCGCCGCGCGCGCGGGCCGGCGCGCGTTGTTGGGGCCGGGCGCCGCCGCGCGTGCTGCTATCCGCGGCGGCGGCGGCGCTCGCCCGGCTTCCCTGGCGCGCTCCCAAGCGTTCCGCGGCGAAATCACGCCCCCGTCCCCCCCTTTGGAAGCCCCCGCCGCGGGCGTACGATTTGTATGATTTCATCCAACCATTTCAAAGCACGAAATTGCCATTTCAAACCCCCCAGGTGCGGATCATGAAGGACTGGGACCCGACCGGCCGCCAGGGCCCGAAGATGCCCATGCCCGACGTGGTCAAGGTGCACGAGCCCAAGGAGGAGGAGGTCTTTGCCGACAAGGCCAAGGACTTGGACCTCTAGGCGCTCTCGAGGCGGCCGGCTGCGACGGCGGGCGCCGGGGCCGCAGCTGCCGCCCCTGGCCGGTTTGCGCGGGCGCGGCCGGGTCCGGACGGCGGGGTTGGAGGCGGCCGGCGGCGGTTTCGCGGCTGTTTGTAATGCGACGGATCAATGCATATGGTTTGACGGCAGGGGTGGGATGAGTTTGAGGAACACTCCAAGGTGTGCGGGCGGCGCGGGAGGGCGACGACGGCAAAGTCCGGGACGTCGGTGGTGCCATGTTGTGTGCAAAACAACACATGAGATTGGGGTGGAGCAGTTTCACCGTTCGCATACGGCCATAAAGACGCGAGTGCGAGCGTCAACGCCCGAGTAGAGGATTTGCCGGAAACCAAATCTTGTTCTAGCACCCTGCACTGCCAGGCACGCGGTGCCTGCCAGAAAGCTTCTCTCCGAGCATGACCGCACCGCCCAATTGTCATCTTCTCGATGCGTTGGTCTTTACAAGGCAGCCGTATCAGCAAAACACTCCCAACACGCCGCCCAGCCCGCGCACAAGTGCTACAGATCACTGTAGGATCTGCCATTGTACCCAGTCGGACTCCAATTCAGACTTAAGCAACCGAAAAAGGCGCCGGTGCTGCCCAGCGATGGAGGGAGGACTCGAGGCTGGTTTTTCTGGGGGCGAGGCCGGGCCGGTGGCGGGCCCCGTCGCCGGCCCGCAGCAAGAGGGGATTGAGCGGGTGTTTCCCTGTGTCAAGCTACGCGGTCTTCCGTTCGATGTGAACGAAGACGAGATCAGGGCGTTCCTGGTGCGTTATTATTCCGCCCATTCGTACTCTGAACGATCCAACATGCTGATCGAGTGCATGCTGAGCCCTATGTACGCACACGGGGCCAGCAAGGGCGCACTCGGCGATCCGTCGGCCGCCCCGCCTGCGGCGCATCACTGCTCCCTGCGACCAGAGTCCCTGCGCCCGTGCGACCCCGCAGGAGATCGAGGCGCTCGACATCCTCCTCGTGAAGCGGGACGGCCGATTCTCCGGCGAGGCGTTCATATTGCTCGGCACGGCGGCCCACATCCAGCTTGCACTCGACAAAAACAAGTCATACATGGGCCGGCGGTACGTGGAGGTCTTCCGTGCCAAGAAGCTGGTGAGAAGCCGCGCGCGCGACAGGCGCCCGCCCGGCTCAGGGGCCGAACCGCAGCGCCGCATTGGGCGCGATCGCGCCGCGCGCAAGCGGGCGGCAGCGGTTGTCCGCCACGTCGCTGCTGCATCGGCTGTCGCGGGCTGGGGCCCGCTTCGCTCTCCACTGAACAATTGCTGCCCTCCGGCCGCCGCCGCCCCCAGGATTACTACAAAGCGGTCCTAGCTGAGATGCTGGATGGTACAGGCATGGGCCGCGGCGTCGTCGGCCGCGGCGGGCCGCAGGGCGGGCACGGCGGGATGGGCATGCAGCACGGCGGCTATGGCGGCATGGCCATGCAGCAAGGATACGGCATGCAGGTGCGCAGCATGGCGGGGCGGCGGCACGCGTGGGTGCATGCGTGCTTGCATGCGTGCCGGTTGTCACCTAGCCTGCCCAAAAGCGCGGGTTGCCGGCGGTTGCTACTATGCAGCATGCGGCTCGGCCGTGGGAGGCCCGCCGGCCGGGGGTCGCTGCCTGTGGCGAGCGGACACCGCGGCGGCGGCAGCGGCGATAGCGGCGCCCCGGGTCTCTTTGGCCCATGGTAGGGTGCCCGAAAGGACGCCTGTTGGCCGACTGTGGCCGCCATGCATGATGATGGTGTTTTTGGCCCGCCCCCCTCTGCAATCTTAGCAGGCCTATGGCGGCTACGGCGGCGGCTACCCCAACGGCGGCGGCTACGGCGGCGGCTATGGCGGCGGCGGCGGCATGCACGGGGGCATGGGCGGCGGCGGCATGGGCGCGGCGGCGCCGCGGGAGGAGCCGAGCAACGTGGTGCGGCTTCGGGGCCTGCCGTTCAGCGCGGGCAAGGATGACATCATCCGGTGGTTTGAGGACGTCGCGGTCGCGCCGCCGACGCAAGACGGGTGAGGGGCGCCCCTAGATTACGGAGCAGCTGGGTTTGGGGCAGCCGGAGCGGCGGGGCGGCCCGCGTCGCGTCGCTGGGTGCGGCGGGGCGGCGTCGCGGCGCCGAGCGTCGCGCAGCTTGGGCGGGTGGGCGTGCAGTCGGCTGCGATCGGCCGACTCATAGCCCGGCTCTGTTCCCACTCCCCCTCCTCCCCCCACACACGTGCACACGCACAGTCACACTCACACACACGCACCTTCATCTGAATAAACCCTCCCCCCCACCCCCCAGTGTCCACATCATCACCGACGGCGGCCGTCCCACCGGCGTGGCGCTTGTCGAGTTCGGCTCCGCCCAGGAGGCGCAGGCGGCCATGGTCAAGGACAAGCAGATGATGGGCACCAGGTACATAGAGGTTTTCCTGTCCAGCAGGGACGAGCTGCAGAGGTACCTGCCGAGAAGCTACTGAGCGGCTCCCCCCGCCCCCCGCCGGCGCGCGATGGCGGTCGCCGAGGGGGCGCCCGTTGGGCCGGGCGCCGCGGCCGGGAGGCCGGGGCGCGGCCGATGGGCGGGCCAGTCTGTTTGGAGGAGGGGAGGGTCGAAAGTTTGGCGTTCGTGTGGGGCGTGTGGGCGTTGTTTGCGGGCGCAGGTGCGCCCGCGGCCCGGCGCGGCGCGGCGCGGCGGTCGGAAGCCGGCCGCCGCGGCCGGGCGTTTTTTCTTCCTCCCTCTGCCGATCGGTTCTTCCCAAAATGACTGTGACACGCGCTGTTTGCGCGGCCCGGCCGGCGAGCGCGGGCGGTCGGCTGCCGGCCCGCAAGCGCGCGCGCCCTCACGCGGCCGCCCCCGCCGGCTGGGGCTGCTGCTTTCGGATACCAGTATTATGCGGTTTGGCCGCCCCTAAGCAGGGGCGGGCCCAATGACTGTCGCGCTCCCAATCGGTTGCGGTGGCGTGGCGGCGAGGCGCGGGGTCGGAAATCGCGCCGCTTCCACATGCAGCCGGCTCACACTTTCATGCGCCGCCCCTCGCTCTTCCGCGAGGCAGGCGCCGCCCCCACACACGCGCACGCACCCAGCAAGCCCCCGTGGACCCTTCCGCCCCCCGCCGCCGCTCTTTGGCCCCTGGGCGGGACACGGCACGGCGGCGGCGGGCGGCCCGCGTCGATCCCGGCCTAATCTTATCAATCGTTTTGGGGGCTGGGGCGGCGCCAGCGCACGACTTTCGAAACCGCCGAGAGATGCTCCACCCGAACCCCCCGGCTGCACCCATTCCCGCCCCCTCGCCCGCGCCCGGCCGCGCGGCGCGGCTCTCGCACCTGATTCGGCCCGCCGGCCTTAGAATCGCGCTCGACGCTCAATGCATGCGCCGGCGTGCCCCTAGCCTCCTGCCCTCGCGGCGCGCGGCCGCCGCCGTTTGCTTTCGTTCCGCGCGGCGCGGCGCGGCGCGTGCGTGCGTGCCGCGGCGCGCGCGTCCCCCTGCATGCATGCATCACGAGCAGCCCGTCCGCGGGCTGAGTAACGAGCAAGGCTGCATCGACCTCGACCCCTTTTCTGCCGGTCGCTGTTGCGCTGGTGGTTTTCCTGATCGGGTGAATGGATGGACGGACAGACCTCGCAGCCCTACCTCAGCAAATCACCCGCATGCATCTCGCTTCAGAGTGCATCGGAAGCAGAGAGCGTGGCGGCATCCAAGGCGGCGCCGCGCCACCTGGGGCGGGCCGCGGCGGCCGACCGCGCGCGCTGCAGCAGCCGCGCCGCGGCTGCAGC